ATCGATTCGATTATTCAGGAGGATCATTTCTACATGAAGTATAACTTATGCAATTCCGGAAAAGCCGGAATTCCTGCCTATTCCTACCGATTCCGGAAAATCCGGAATGTGCAGGAATTCCGGAATTCCGCTACGGAATGGAATAAGTCGCTCACCATGTTCATTTCTACATCAAGCATATCTTTCGTAATTCCAGAATTGGCAGGAATCGAATTCGATCTGTTCCGGAAAAGGCAGGAATCGTATGTAAGGAATTCCGGAATTGAATGATGTTAAATTGGGTGGGTGCAGCGATTCCGGAATGTGTAACTTTTGGGAATAGGAAGCATTCTCTTTGCTAGTGGTTGTTGTTTCAGTTTTGGCGCTTCTAAGAAAATTTCTTCTTGTTCCTTATCCATGATTATATAATTAAATTAACCTGTCAGAGTCTATCGTTCTCAGAATTGTTATAAATGTATCGATGTATATTTTGCGGAGTTTTGGATCAAGTAAAAAATGAATTCTTTTTTACAACATTTTATAATAGAAAGAAAAAAAATAATATCATATGACTTCAACAAGATCAACTGATGATGACAAAACATAAATAGTCTTATCAAATGATTTATTTGTGTGAAGAGAAAAAGACATGAATAGATTTATGGACTATAATAAAAGGTGAGTAAATAGCAGAGAAAAAAATTTGATTGGTTAACTATTTTGCTTTGCCATGTTGTGACATACATTGATATGTATTTATAACTTTAAAAAAAAGATATGAATGTTGATATACAACACAATCTTATTCTATCAAAGAACATTATTTGTGCATGAAGTAGAAGTGACGTTGAATCTAACCAATTTTTTGTCATTATGATCATAGACATACAAGTTTTCTAATCGATCAAATGCTAATCGATCTGGGAAGGAGATACTTGTTGCACCACCACCTAAAATTCCTCCAACAGCAATGCCAATGTATTTAGCATCCAGTGTCCATCGAGTAACTTTAGCGTTTTCAGCAATCAAAATATTACCCATTTTATCCACAAGTATGGCTTGAGGCTCAATATAATCTCCAGGTGCATCAGAAAGAACTTTACTTGGACCACCACCTAAAACAGTTACTCCGTATAGAGATCCGCTTGAAAATCTTTTTGTGGGATGACCAGAAGCACCCGTTATAACGTATGCGAAATCATTCATTTCATCTACATTGAATCCTTGCGGAAACGGAAACGGGTCGGAAATATACTCCTCTTTTTGTCGACCACCAATAAGTATTTGTGATGAACCATCAGCTTTCCATTTGACAATACGATGACGACCTCCATCTAATACAAATACATCACCTACGGAGTTTACATATAATCCTATACAATTGGTATCAAGTTGATCTAAATTCCAACCTTTTCCGTTAGACCTAAATACAGTTATTGGTGTTGAACTTCCATTGACGAGTTTATATACACCTTGAGTATCGTTAAAGATATAAAAAAAGTAAAGTGAATCGGTTAATGAATGATAAAATAAAGGAGTAGCTGGAAAGTGACCATTGAACAAATTGATCGGTTCACTAGCACCTGGAGGCCATTTTTGCAAAGTATTCAAATGTGAATTGCTAATATATATATTAAAATCATTATCGACAGCAAAACTTGATACATAATCGGATTTAAGCAATATGTCTCCAATTGGATTCCAACTGACTCCAACGCAAATTCCTGATACTACAAAGTTGAGCAACAAAAGGTATTTGTATGATTCATGCAGAAAACAAAATACAAACCTTGCTGTTTTGTTGTTGTTGGTTTTGTCATAGTTGTATTGATAGTAACTGATGATGTGTGTTGAATTCGTGTTGCTACAAATACCAAAGTTAAAGTGAACAATGATAAAAGTACTATTGAACATAATCCAATAATAATAATTTGATTTCGTTTACATCGAGACGGCTGATTAATTTCCTCTTCTAGACTTTCAAGTAAAGGATCATGTGTATCAGATACAGGATCGTTAACCATTCAGACAAAATTATTTTCACTTATGAAAATAAACGTATACAGACATAGTTGTATTGATTTACATCATGCGCAAATTTATTCATGCGTATACATACATTATTTTTCTCCTTTTACGCGCTGTTCTATACCGTTCTACAATCGTACTACTAGTGCGATTGTATAAAGTAATTTTTTCATGCGGTTATTTTATTCAGAACTGAAAAAAATATTTAAGTAAGGTGAAATTACAAATAAATATAATATTTAATATAATGATTTCGTCGTATCATTCTAGAAATGAGTGACTCTGTGACAAACCAAATTTCAAATGATTCTTCAATTCCATCAAGTCGTCATTATTCGTCAAACAACGACTTAATTGATCAATATACTTTAATCTGGTTAGATCATAGCGCATTGGACAATTCACTTGATTCATTACGTACAAAAACATTATTTCGAGAAGTTAGTGATGCTCCTTGTTTATTCTTTAATAGTGTGGAATCATTTTTACTCAAAATACAGGAACTAAGAAATCAGGAGATTAAAATTCTCATTATTGTATCTGGATCATTTGCAAAAGAAATTCTTCCTGATACGAGAAATAACTTTCGGATAATTATATTTTGCCGAAATTCTAATAAATACAAACGTTTAAAGGAACATTATCCAAATATCATTGATATTTGCACTGAACGTGAAACATTGGAGACTTCTATTCAACGTGAATTACCATTATTAAAATTCAATTTATTTAGTAAAGAAAAACTGAATTCGTTACGTTCATTAGCTTCATCAGAAAATGCAACGCATAATGGTGCTTATTTTTCGTACATGTTATTTATTGACTTTTTAAAACAAATTCCTTCGACATACCAAGCAAAAGATATTATGTTAAATAAATGTCGAGATCATTTTAGTCAAGATGGAAAACAACTCGAACGTATTGAAGAATTTCGTGGTACATATAAACAAGAGGAAGCAATTCAATGGTATACAGAAGAGTCGTTTCTTTATCATCTAGTCAATCGTGCATTTCGAACAGAAAATATCGAATTATGGTATTTATTTCGTTTTTATATTAGTGATTTATGCAAACAATTAGAAGATGTTTACCAGAAACAAAACTGTCAAACAATTTTAAGACTCTATCGTGGACAATCTCGCTTACCAACTGAAGAATTAGAAAATTTTAGCTCAAATATAGGTGGTTTCTTATCAACAAATGCATTTTTTTCCACGTCAAAAAATATTGCTGTAGCTAAGGCGTATATAACAGATGCTCCTAATACAGACGATGTTAAAGTAGTTTTATTTGAGATAACTGTTGATGCATCTAATTTAAGAAATACGATTTTTGTTGATATTAATGAACATTTAGGATTCGGACCATCAAATAAATTTCCAGGAGAAGAAGAAGTATTATTTAATATTGGTTCAGTTTTTCAAATTGAAAATATTAATTTTGATGATAATTTAAACGCATGGAAAATTAAAATGAAAGCAACCGATGAATGTACAGATTCGATAAAAGAACGTATTAACTCAATGAAAGAAAAATTTAAAAATGGAAATAATAATTTATTATTTGGTCGTTTATTACTTGATATGAATCAGCATACTAAAGCTGAATCATATTTTCAAATGATGTTAAAAATATTACCTAAATCACATTCTGATTTACCTTTAGTTTATGATTATATTGGTGATTTAAATATGCATACAACAAATTGGAATGAAGCATTTAAAAATTTTCATCTATCCTATGAAATAAAGAAGACAAAAACACATCCAAATCATCATCAAACGATTGGTATAACATTAAATAGTTTAGGAAATTATTATAAGGCTATTTGCGATAGGTGTCAAGCATTAAAATATTATTCAAAAGTTTTAAATTGTAAAATAAATCCATATAATATTGCAATTACTCTATTGAATATCAGTACGATTCATATTATAGAAAAAAATTATAATAAAGCATTGGATTTATGTTTACAAGCTCGAAATATTATTCAGGAGAATTTTTCAAACACATATAGTGCTGTTATTCGATGTCATAGAATTATGGGTGATATATATTTTGCTCAAGAAGATTATGATCAAGCAAAAGATTTTTATTTTGCTGCATTCGATCTGAGTAAAAGAGCTTTGTTTACTACTGATCGTCAACGAATTGTTTGTATAAAAGCATTAACTACTTTCTATTATCAACAAAATATGAAACAACAAGCAATTGAATTTTGTCTTAAACAATTAAATTTTTATGAACAACATTTAACGAAAAATCATATTAATATTGTGCATTTATTATTGATTATTGCTGAATTGTATGAAGATAATGATAAAGAAAGAATTGATTATTTGGAAAAAGCATTAAAGATTTTAGAAGAAAATATTCATCTTCATTATGATACAACAGCGAATTGTTTGAAATTAATTGGACAATATTATCAGAAACAACAATTAAATGATAAAGCAATGACATTTTATAAAAGAACTTTAGAAATACAGAAGAAAATTTATCCAAAAAAACATTTTACATTAAAAGAAATTCAATATTTAATTGATATGATTGACAGTTAGTTTCAGGGTATAGATATGGCTGATCTATACTCTTATCTACTTAAAAACAAAGTGACACTAGAGATTCTTTTTTCATCGTTATATAAAATTTAGTAATTGATGTGACACTAATAAAAGTTTTATTATTTATGTGTTTACTATGCACCCATAAATTATTTACTTTTACACACTAGAATAATTTAAATGGTTTTTCGTTAATATTTCAAAAGAGTATTTACTTCACTATCGGGAACACCGATTATACAGTAAGCGCATTCAAAAAAAAAAAAGAGACGCGAAAACCCTATATGTTTTCAACAGTAAGAGTATTTTTTTCATTCGATACTCACACCCACACCCATACCCTAGTGCAAAATTTAATGTATGAAAACATTTATAAGTCTTCTTATTTCATCGTTTACACGGTAAAATTTTTATTATCAGTTACGGAACAAATTTATGAAAAAAAAACATTCAAAATTTCAGTTACAGAGCGTTTACACGGTGATTATTAACAGTGCAAAATTTGTTATTTACAATTTAATGAGGATTTAGACAATAAAAAAAGTAATTTCGTAAGCGTTTGTCTGCTTGAATGCTTGTTTTTACTTTTTCTTTCTTTTATTGATATGACGAAACCTAAGGAGAGCGCCCAATTTCTATTCGAGTCTTGTTTTTATGATTTCTTCTCATTTTAAATATCACCCTTATTTGATACATCATGCGATACTTCACTTCCATCGCAATTCGACCTTATTGTGCTTCTCTTTCGTGTTCTTTCTTTCACTTTGATGAATGGATTTAGAAGTGTTTATTTTATATGAAATTGATGTGATTCTTGATAAGAAGAAATATAATAAAGTGTAATACTATCAGCACAATCACTTAATCTGTCACAATAACAAATAAAAGTAATAATCGATTTTTTTCAACGATCATGTTATTTGCGCTTTCTCTTCTTTTTCTTTTTTTTATTCATTCCTTTTTGGTAGTGCATTTTAATGTTCGATTGAAAAAATATACACTTCCGATTGATAGCTAGCATGAGTAATATTGTAAAGAATGATGATTGAGATAAGAACAAAACGTTTTATTATCTCTTATAAAGATGCAAGAAATACAACAATTTTTCTTTTAGATAAAATCAGTGAGATCGTTACAAGCATGTCAACATCCTTAGGTAAGTATAAACAATTACGTGACTATTTCTGCAATCATTTCTTTTCATAATTCAAAAGAATGCAACTCCTTATTACAACAAACTTTATCAGGTGATGAACAAATTAGTGTAGAAGACACAAGCGAGGAACCGAATGGAACCACAACTGATAACATGCGTACAAGTAAGTTATGAGTTCAGTCTTCTACAGTAACAAGACATTGATAGGAATTTGTATTTTTTTACTCGATCTAGATGAAAGTATAATATCGACAGATTGTACATTAACGATAGTTAATAATACTATACCAAATGATCAAACAGATGCTATTGTAGAACCACTATCATCATTAGATTCACAACAAAATAGCAACAACAAGCAAGGAACAACAACGACGGATATATCACCGAACACAGAACGACGTATGTTTAATTATAGAGAAATTATTGTTGTAATTTTTATATTTTATAGATATCAGCCAATGGAGTGAAGATGAAGTATTAGGATGGTTTCAATCTTATAACCTCGACGGGTACATAAAAGTTAAATTCTATTGAAAAATATAAATATCTTTTAGAATACACAAATATCTTTTTGCTCGGCATGAAAAAAAAGACGGTACAATGCTAGCAAAACTATTTGAATGTAAAGTCCAAGTAAGTGGTTTTACACTGCCTTATTCAATTTAATAAAAAACTCACATTTTGTACAACAGTACTCGAATAGTTTTCTTCATTTAGAATTGCGATCTTTATAGAAAAAATTATGGAGGTCGTTTGCCAAGCAAAGAAAAAAATCTTTTAAAAGATTTCGATCGTTTTGGGCAACAACTTGATTCACTTTTTATTGATAAATTAGAACATCGATTTGATGTGGCATTCTCATTCCCAGGTATGAATATTTCACGACAAATAGTTATAATCTTTTGCTTTCTAGGTGATATACGAGAGCGGGTCAGTCATATCGCAGAAAAATTATGCAAGAAAATTAATACAGACGGACAACAACGAGTTTTCTACGACATGTATCATAAAGCTGAATTAGCACGTCCAAATCTAGATCTTTATTTACAAACCATATATCGTTATCAAACAAAATTAATTGTCGTTTTTATGTGCGATGAATATTCACGTAGAGAATGGTGTGGTTTAGAAGCACGGGCTATACGCAGTCTAATGAAAACATATCAAAATAGTCGAATTATGTTATTATCAGTGGATGGAAAAGCTATTGAAGGTGTATTAGATATCGATGGATATTTGGATATTTCAGAAAAAAAGGATGATGATAATGATGTGGTCGATGCAATTTATACTCGTTTGATAGCGCTTGAGAATCCACAGATATTCTCAAAAACGTCACATCCACCAATATTAGAAAATAGATTGTCAAGAAGTATAACGGCTTTAAAACATACTTTTCGTTCAATATCACCATGGTATTTTGTTGTGGCTTTGGCATCGTATATTGTGGGAACTTTTGATAGACAGGAAAAATGAATATGTATTTACTTTAAAAAAATTCACTAAAAACATTTAATAATCGAATTTTAACTCATACAAAATAAATTATATTTTTTATTAAATAGAAAAAAACAAATATTTTCTTAACTTTAGTAAATATGATGTGAAAAAAAAGTGAAAATGCGTTTGCTGACATGGAATCAAAGATCAGGGTGTCGATGAGGATCAATACGAAGATCTATCTTCGACAGCCACCATACTCACTCCTACAAAAGACACTCAGTCTGATATCAAGCAACCTGGAGCGAAGCCGCAGATGCCTTGCTAGTACCACATAATAACAACGTTAAGTTTCACACGAAGGGAGTTCTGCTCGAAAATTCATTGTTATGACTCTTAGTTGAATAGTGATGAACTAGTATAAAAAATGCAGTTTCATATTCTCTATCTTTCTGTGAAAATGAAAATTTCTTTTGACCGTTTAATAAAGAAACTAAATAGAGGCGATATTACTTCTGCATACACCTAGGTAGACTGAGACTCTAGAAAGAAAAATGTGAATACTAGTAGACGATAAACGATAGCTCATGGCGATTTTTTGAAAATTTAATAATAATAGAAACGTATATGAAGTTTTCCAGGCCAGAGCATACAGTTTCAGTTGGAATTTAAAACGCAAGTCACAATCATCTTAAGGGTGTGAATGTCGGCTAAAAGAAGATTAGTACCCACACCCACACTCAATTAAAGCAAAATTATATTTTTATAAATAAAAACTTTTTAATATTGATCATTAAAAAAAGCACTTTCAAACTAGATACAGTAGTTACATTTTCTAACACTTTGCATTAGGAAAAGACTTAAGACCTATACAAATGCTTTTCAAAATTGAACTCTACTCAAAATATCCGATACGACATCGATTCTATTTAAAGTTGTCTTTTGTTCAAACATTGCTTTAATTTCTTTAATCGTAAGCTTCCGTTTCCAAATACATATTTCAGCTAGATGAGTGTCCGTAGGAGATGCTTCAATACTAATATCATGATATGGCGGGCGGAAACGTTTGCAAAGTTTATATTCGGCTAGTTTTTCACTGTTTAAATACAGTTCTATTGATGTATCGTCGGGTGAAGTTTGAACGATTAGAAGTGCAATGTGGTGCCACATGTCAGTTTGTAATATTGGCGAATTCGGTTGCTGGGCTTGAATACAACCGCCGCCGTTGACATAAAATTCTAAATGTCGTTCCGTGTTCACGTAAATAGTTATAGGTCTACTCCTTTGAGGTCTATCTTCTGTTAAATCCAAAGTAAGTGTAAGCCAATGACTGTCTTTATTCGATGGTCGCTTGCATAAAAAGAACCAAAACGAGAAAGAGCAAGTTTGTAGTATTGTTCGACTATGAAAAAGGTCATAATCGTTACGAATTTTGACAAAATTACCAATAGTTTTCAAGATATAATCAAAAGAAGAATCTTTCTCAATTATCGTTTTACTCTGGTCAGAGGTAAAATTATCTTTTTGACCACGTTTTATTCTTTTAATTGAGCTATAAAACGGGTTTTGACCTAGTGCGATATTTGAAAAATTGTAATAAATTATTAAGTCTTCAAAGAGTTTTGGATGTTCAGCAAAATACTTATTAAGAAACCATTCGTTCATGATAAGTTTTCGAAATCGACGACAGACCGTTGATAGGGAAATGAGATCATTGAAGGGAGATATTGACAAAAAGATTGATTGCCATATTTCATCGAAGAGGTCGGAATTACTGTTAAATGTAGTAGTTACGAATGTGTTGGGTTTTCTTGTTCGACGCGGCATTTTTTTTTCTCAGACAAATATCTAAAATAAAAGCTAAGGAATAAGTATAATAAAGAAGACTGCTCTACGTCTTCGTATGGATGTTTAATCACTCGGTTGAAAAAAAATATGCGTGCACCTGTTCCCAATAAACTGAAAAATACTTTTATTGTACACTTACTAACAGGCGTCTGACGAAAGCAAGCGGATGTTTATGATATAAAAATTCGGCTTTAACGTCCTATTTATTACTTACACAAAAATAACTAAAACAGTCATCATTACTGTTTTATTGTGTGCTTTTGTGAAAAGCGCTGCTGAAAGCTGTGGAGAAATTACATGTAATATAAGGATCAACAACAAAAAATGAGTCACGGCATGTTATTCACACTGATGAAAAGAATATGTAACTTGCATCAGTTTTGCGTTCTTCGAGTAACATTACGCGACTGCTATACATTTTTCTTCTTTCTTTCTACAGTCAATCAAATGCGAAGTGAAAATGTGTAATAGATGAAAAATGATATTTTCTTTCTCATAGAGAACAGTCTTGCAAGAATACATTTTGTCTATGATCACACATGCACAAGTGATCGACTCAAAAACAAAATAACTTTTAAGTGAAATGATACTCATAATAATGGAATGGTATTTTCACAGAAAATAGATCCGATATTTCTGACTTTAGGAAAAATAAAATTAATTTTGATCGATCAAACATTTCATAGATATTTACAGAACTAGCGCTACCTATATCACTTTTTTTTATGAATAACTCGAATAAGCTTCACCGAACAGAAGTGACTCAATTTTTCCAAAAATTAGAAAGCTTTACTTGATCTTTGTTAGTGATCACATTGTTCTCGCTTCTTCTTCTTTTCTTTTTCTTTTTTGGTTCCATTTAAAGAATGTTATTGCAGATAACATTCTTTCATGTTGTTTCTTTTCTTTTTCTTATGCCTGTTCTGTTCTTTGATACGAACGATATATATGTTCGTGTTCTTGTTTTGGAAGTCAATTCCTTTTTTTGATTCTTTTCTTGAGTCGTCGTCTTTTCTTTTCTTTGAAAATAAACAGTTTCAAGGGCATTATCCCCCGACATATAAAAGAACTCACAATCTTCAGTAAAATTTTTATCCAATCACTTCCAGTTTCAACGCTCTAAGTTTTTTCATTTGTTTTTAACTCTAATTGCATGTTCACAACGAGTCTTGTTTCATCACCCAAGCAGACAAACTTATGAAAAAAAGCGTAAAAAATGTCTTGAGGGGTGTCGGTGTGTTATGACGATGAATCAAATACACACACCCACACCCACCCTCAAGAAAAAAAATGTTTTTTTTACTATCGATTATTCTTATTGAGGTACTAGACTTTTTATTTTTGCAAAAATTTTGTTCAATTTACATTGATAAGGCCTTCCGGCTCTTAAGGGTTAAATAGAAAAAACAAATATTTTCTTGTCTGTAGCGAGTATGATATGAAAAAAGTGGGTGTGGCTGGGGATGTGGAAGTGGGTGAGTGTGGATATTTTGTCTGTTCCACATACACACCCGCACTCAGACCCGACGAATAGTTTTTTCCAGAAGACGTGGAAAATCAGCTTTTCTTAAAGATTTATTTTTTTCTTTGAAATAGCTTTGCATGATCTTCATCCAAATCCAGTCAAGAATGTCCTTTCAAAAATGTTCCTGGTTTTTGATCCTTCAGAAAAAGTCCTTGATGTTAAATGTCCTCTGAATGAAATGTCCTTGACAAATGGTCCTTTTGAAAATGTCCTCTCAGAAATGTCCTCTCAGTAAAAGAAGTAAGCAATGTTAGTTTAAAATATTGATCTTGAGGGTATGGGTGGGTGTAGGTATCAGTGATGGTATTCTGTTCATTCCACATCC